TGTTAGTGGTGCTCAGTTATAAGTGAAGGGGTGTGTATGTGTGTGGGTGTAGCCAGAGTACGAGGAGCCTAATCCAGGACTCACCCATAGAGTAACAGAGATGGATTTGTGCGTGCAATTTACAACTATTTAGAGCACTGGGGATCCCTCAGTTTATAAATCACAGAAAAGTATCTGAAATCCACCAGTTCACTTTTGTCTGCTAAAGCTATGGCAGTCAAACTTAAGTCATAGTGATGTGCTGTTTTGTCCAATATCTACAGGCGGAATGGATAGAGCCAGAGCAGATGCAAGGGTTTTCTCTTAAACCATAAGTATAAGACATACCAGCAGTGCATGCAATCAGCTTCAAACAATATTTTTCAAAGAACTCTCAAAGAATTTTAAATCAAAAGGGGTTTACTATTCTAAATAAATTAGAAACATTGAGAAAATTGTGAAAGGAACCCCTGAGCAGCATATTTTTCATTCATTAATAACAAGCCTTGTCAGATTCATCTTAAAGGAGAACCCTCAAAGGCTCCCTATTACTTTGAGCGCCTGTCTTTTAACATGGCCGAGGGCAATTCAGATGTGTGATGGGCTTATAGCGATCTCCAAATGCTCACAGGTGATACTGAAAAACACATTTACCATCAGATTAATGGGAAACAGCACACGCCTAAGAGAGGCGGCAGGCATGTTTTTTGTTTAATCTCCATGACAGGCCAAGCTGAAAGACCATAACTTAGTGAAAGGAAAAGTAATAAACTCTGGCATTTGTTAGATTAGAAGCATTAGGGTATTCTGGCTGTATTATTGCCTTAGTAAAAACTTTCATACAAATCAGTTATTTCCAAATCAGGAAAGAAAAGATTAGAAAAAATAAAGCTACTTGTCTAATTGTGTTTTATTTATGTTTAATGCATCGGACAGAAAAAAATCCTATAGGGACATTAAAACTAAACTTAGTTTGACATATGTTGTTTTATTTTTGTTCTAATAAAGAGGAATTAATGTGGAAAAATTGATTTCTTGACATGTTTAGTTGTGGATGAATGATTGCAGATATCCTTCACACTTTAAATTAAAGCCTCCGTTCTTTTTTCATAGCTGCTGAAAGCATTGCATTTTGAACTAAAAACCGAGGCTGTGATGTTTATCTTGCTAATCATTTGGCAATCTCATGATATGTTTTCATGGAAAATCACCTCCCTACAGCCTCTTAAAAGCTGCTGAAAATGTTCAGAATTGTTTACAAAAACAATTAACAAAGCACACAAATCACTGAAATAAAAAATCTTATGATCGTGGAAAGAGGTCAAAACTGGAATAACAGCAACTACTATACAGACCAGTGGGAAGTTCTTCAACCGTGGTCTTGCTCTTTTTAACATTCATGAATAGTATGAAGGTGTTGCACAGACCTTCCCTCTACCTTTCTAATCTATGAAAAAACATGTGAGAAGAGGGTCGACAGCAGGGAACAAAGAGCAAGATGGATGAAGTCTCCCCCTAACCACACACTCCCAGTTACTATGGGTTGACCTCAGTTGACCCCTTGCCCCCTAAACAGCCTCTCATCCCATTGACTGGGATTAAAAGGGGTTTTTGCTTGCAGGGTTTTATGGCAGAGGAGCAGAACGAAAGTGGGCCCCACTGTAGCCCTTGGGCAACATTGAGCAACATTGTCTGGTAACATCTGATCAACAATGCAGTGCTTCTCAAAGACTCTGCTGTTAAAGGGAACAAAAAAGTGTGCCCGAGCTTGGCGTGTTCGCATGTAGAGTATGATGCAGTCCGTAAGAACAGCTGCGGCGAAGGCCGGTTCCTGCAATTGTTTGGAGCTTTTTAACAGCGTTCGTCACTTTCCTTTGGCTTTACAACTGCTTGTTGACAATCTGATCTGGGTAATCTGATAATGGCATCCAGCGGGACAAAGAGAAGCACATTGATCATGTGATTCTCACAAGGCATTGAAAACATTTCTGCCAACAGGAGGATGGTTGTTTCTTGTCTCATAATTAAAGGTTATCAGTTGCGTAGTATTGTACTGTGCACAGACGCGTTATGTGAATTCAGTCGGCTGCATCACAAATTTGTAGGGTTACCTATTAATAAGTGAGTACAGCTGTTAGCATAGGGGCTCTTAGGAGCTCTGCAGGTCACTCTGCACCTCTAATTGTCCATACAGGCAGCTACATACTGTAACAGATGATGATAATGGTGAAGCAGACTTACGTTACCCACTAACCTGTGGGTTGTTACATCTCAGTAAAGTAAAGGGTGCTGATGAAACATTAAATCCCAGAAGACATATTGTGTAACTTTACTGTGCTAAAAACAACAACCCCTGACTCCAGCAGGTTTTTCTCTGTTTTGGACTGACAGATGTTGAATCTAAAGCCTACCACCTCTGTCACCCTGCAGGCTGGCACCACCTGTCAATCAAAGAGCTGCTCGCAGTCTCCCGGGAGACTCCAGCTGGTCAAGAATGTCAGGACTGAAGGATGTCTTTGTCCCTAAGGAATTCAGTGGTAACCTCTGTCTTATTTCATTAGGAGACATTGTGAGCATCTCTGTACAAACATGCGCAGAAAATCATGCGGGCACATAAACTTATGTCACGAATATAAACAACCAAAAGGGCCTAAACTGAAACGAGTGCCTCCTGGGGCAAGTTTCCTGGCATTTCGGGGGAAGAAAACAATAAAAATAGAGTTGAGTATTTAACAAATAAACTCTCGATTAATTTGCATAATTGTCCATAAACCTGGACTAATCTGGTTGAATAGTTTTCCCGAGTTGCTTAATTAACCACCATGTAACGACTATGTATTACAAAAACAACACCCTCTCGTGTACAGGTGGCTTTTATAACTATGAAGGTTACACAGCCGTCACAAGAAAACGGTCTTTAGCAGCTCATTAGGCATCATCAAGGACATATGTGCTCAGGATCATACACTGGGGGGAATGTTACATACATCTGCTCTTTAGCACCTTTCACCATAGTGTCAGTCTGCTGTTCCCAACCATTAGACCCATTAGAGGCCAATTAACACAGACACAAAGCTCCCTTCCTGTTTTATAGCACCCTAAACAAAACCTGCAGGCTTGTCTCGGGCTCAGAAGGGCTCCACGAACTTTGAGGCAACACAGAACAGCTTGGTTTGGTAACATTGTATTCTGACTATTAGTAGCCAAAACCTCAGTCTGATACCAAGACTACTTGTAACATTCAGATCCAAAGCACTGATGTGATGACAGCCAATATAAAGAACAGAAAATAACTTTCTCAGTGCAGGCAGCAATTTTGCTTTGACTTCTAAAATCCCATCTGAGGTCTGGGTGTTTGCTTCTTGCACGCAACAGCTCTCATCCAGAAGCACAACAGCCACACTTTCCGGTTTATCTCAACTGTATCATGTCTCTCGATTGGGCTGTGGTGCTGATAAAAACCGACTCATATCCACCCTACGTGCTGACGGCTGAAGTGAAGAAGAGCCCTGTTGTTTGAAGTGCCCCATGTGGGTCATTCCTCATAAACTGTGTCAAAGTAGGCCAAAAAGATAAGGATAATATGGGTCTTTTCCGCGTGTTCGAGTTGGGTCCCGGTGGATTTATGAGGCAAACATTTCAGCGTGCATGCTGCTGCACGCCAGAGGCACGGGTCGCCCTGAGAGGAGAGCTTGGTGCGACGCAACACCGAGATCCCAGTAGTTGCGCGATCAACAGAATAAACGCTCATCCAAGTTTTACTCGACCGTTTCTTAAGATGCTAAAATGGTCACACCACAGGTTTCAAATGGATAAAGCACAAGTGCACATACGCAACTGAATAAGAACCTCTGTTCCAAAAGCCCCGAAAAAACGAGCGCAGATGACCTTTTAGGACTCAAAACAGAAGGAAAAAAAAGAAACACAGAGCCAACCTGAAAAGTCTGAGGAGCCCTTGGACAGATCGAAGAGGACGGTGAAGCACGTTATTCCAAACAGGAGAGCATAACTGACGGCTGAGATAGTCCCATATGAGCAGAACATCCTTGAAGCCTCAGTGTTTTTGTTTTTCCCGGAATCATGAGAAAGTCCAGCGGAGAGCTCCGGGTTCAGGAGATGCGCGGTCCCATGTCGATCGCTCTCCCTCGTCCTCCCACCTCACCGCCGTGAGACTGGCATCGAGGTTCCTGTGGGCTGGAGCTGCGTTCAGCTCTGCGTGTTTTTCCCAACTGAGAGCTGGGCTGAGTCCACCTGCAGGCGCACACATCCGACTGAGGCGAGAACCAAGCGCACATGTTGAGCAATCTGTGTTTTGAATGAAGAAGATCACACTAAAATTGTATCAATCTGTTTATTTATATAGCCTATATATACAGTTATAGATTCACCACTCCATTTGAATGTTTTCTATTCAGTTTCAACCGTCTAGACACAAACTGTTCCACCCAAAATGACAGCTGATCAACTACTTTGTTAACATAATCTTATCAATAGCTAATTTAAATTGATATACTGTTCCAGATTATACCATTTTTGCTAATCAATTGAGAATGGCCTACTAGTTTAGTTGGCTATTTCCAATCAGACTGATGAACAGATTGTTTTGTTTGTTTGGCTTTTCCTGTGAGAAAAACAAACACATTGCTATTATATCTTTGGAAATAAAGGTAAATTACCTTGTTAAAGTATGTTCAGCCTTTTTGTGATAGGCCATTGGTAATAGAATTCCACATAAAGATCCTTTAAGTGACTTGTGCTCACAGAAAACACTAAATGTCTTCATCATGGTTTGTATTCCATCAACTGACTTCAATAAACATTTGTCTCCTAAACAGAAAATTGAATCGTTAACCCAGTTGAGTTAGATTCAATCAAACCTAATTCAATAAGAGAAATGTGTCTGCGTATGGCTACTCCATGTTTGGAAACACCTAAAACTTGAAGGATAGCGGCCCTACATGACTGAATTTGGAGATAATTTAAATACGCCACAATCAAACTCACTGAAAAAGCTTATGACGTAGAACACTTGCGCCACTTTGTGGAATTGTCACAAAACTACAATTGAACGACATAGCATTGGCCTGGGCGGCTTCCGTACAATGTGACAACAGAAGGTCAATCATGGCCGCCTGTGCGAAAGGGCTCGATAAATGTATCATACTGCTGAGGTCATGTCGAAATGTGCAATTCCAAAGTGAACGTAAGTAGCACTGAGACATTTTCAACTTTCTGTTTTATGTTTTAACTGGCTGGCAGCTTGAGAATATCCCCCGCGTACGTCCTTTGTGTGCCAATGAAGCTAACGGTCAGGCTAATGGTTTACATGCTAGCAGAGGGACACCAAACTTTGTTTATGGCGTGGAAATGCTTAATAAGAGACCATTTCATTCTTCCAGGATTTCTTTCCACGTCTATGTGGCGTCAGGCTGACAGCGAACCTCCGAAATTTGTCCCCCCATCTAAACCTGTCATAATAGACAAAACGCAGACTCTGGCATCTCTGCGAAAGTAAGACGTCTCTGTGAAACACAGACATCCTGTCTCGTTGACAGTCATACACAAATGCATATTTGGTATTTGCTGTCTAGTGAAGTTTGTTAAGTTCCACCTGTCCGTCTGTTCCTTTCAGATTCCTAAGCCCAGAGTTCATCCCTCCCCAGGAGAGGACAAGCCCCCTAAAGTTTTCCATTGAGAGGAAGGACATGATTCGTAGAAGGAAAGTGCTCAATATTCCTGAATTCTACGTAGGTAAGAAACTAAATGGTTTAGTGTGTTCTTTGTGTGCAAGAGGTTCACGATTACCCCAAAGGATAAATTGTCAATTGAAAAGAAAATGTCAAATCACGTTCTGTTTGTAGTATCTTAAAAGAACTGTCGAATCACTGTAAACAAATTATATATGATTTAAGGGTTTCAAGCTGTTGAGGATCAAAAACCATATATATCACCCATAAAAATGAATATGTTAGAATTTGGTCCTCATAGGTAAATTTCTTTATTTCTAAATGTGAAACGAAAAGATTGAAAAAATGACAACACTCTAACATATCCAGTGTGCCGTTAAAAGAAGGCAAATTCACCTCATTGTAATTGTGTTTCACATTAGTGCGTTGTGCACGCCAAAAGGCTGGCATATTACGTTATTCAGTTGACCTTTTTGTGAATTTCAGGGAGCATCCTTGCAGTGACGATGGCCGATCCCAATGCTAGTGGGAAAATCAATCGCTTTGTTGGAATTTGTATCCAGAGGAGTGGGAAAGGACTGGGAGCCACATTTGTCTTGAGGAACATCATTAATAATCAAGGTAGGATTTGTTGTCAATTACACAATTATGACATGAAAACAAAATCATTAACCACTCATAGTAACTTAACTCCTTGTTACTGATTAGTCTTTCCAATGGCAGTGAATCTATAAGAGCCTTTGATAAGCCCTGCTGAATATTTAGAGTGGGGAATCTAGTTGATTATGTGTACAATAAGAATACTGTCAAAGTCCTATTACCAAGTCCAGCTCATTGGAAATGTTACATGTTTCATTTAGGTTGGGACCATAGTTGCAGTTTCAGCAGTCACTGTTCAGAGAAAAGCATGTATAAGTGTTGAAATCTGCACGTGTGACATAGGTGTCGAGATCTGCTATGAGCTGTACAGCCCCCGGATACAGAAAATCGAAGTGCTGAAGCTGGAGAAAAGGCTGGATGAGAACCTGATGTACCTGAGAGATGCTCTTCCTGAGTATAGCACTGTGGACCCCGAAATGAAGCCTGTGCCCTTCTCCCCTACCGGAGAAGTGCCCTTTAACAAGGTGAGAGGAATTTAGAGGCACCCAAACAACTGCAGCCATCACTGATTAGACTGACTAGTTAATGACACATTAGAATCTTTCATGTTGAGTAATAATTGACACACAGGTCCTCAAAACATAGTCAGGTTTACTAATCCAAACAGTGAAGCCACATAAAAAAAAGATAAATAAGAAGTCTACTAAAACTAAACAATATTGTGAACCATTTTCTACTTTGTTCAACAGATGAAAGTAAGAATGCGCCCGAAACCGTGGTCCAAACGATGGGAGCGGCCCAAGTTCAACATCCAGGGCATTCGATTCGATCTCTGCATGACGCCGAAACAGATGGAGTTTGTGCAGAAGTTTGCCCAGCCCTGGCTGGAGTACGACATGTTGAAGGAGTACGACACCTCCAAACTGGAGGAGAAGATCCTCACTGAGGTCCAGCAGGAGATTAGCAAGTGAGGAAGATCATCCAACACAACATGGCAGTCGATGTCGTGTTCAACCTTTTCCAAGAATGAGAAATGACCGTAAAATCGTTTGAGTGAACGTGGACATTGTGACATTTTCACTCCTGTTCAAGCTCAGTGGCTCACTGCATCACTGTATATGATGAGACTATGTAGTCGTGGGCTTCCCAGGCTTTTGTTTGTCTTATCTATGACTTTATTATATGAGCTGCTGACCATTACATCTCTGTGCAGATATACAAGCATTTGCATTATAGAACCTATTAAACTGTCCATGCTTTGACTTAAATGTAGTCTTCTATGTCTCTTGATTGTTTAATTATTGCTTGTTTGTGCATCCGTGATTCTCTCACAGGTCTTTATTCGCTTCAACCCGTGATTTTTAAGAGGAAGAGTCAAAAAACAGATGACTTAAAACCTCTGGATGCTTTTCTCTGCCCTCTTTAAGAACAATACATTTAAATTTGGTGGTGGCAGAGGAGCAGACAAGCCTGTGCTCACTTTTTTCTTGTTGAGGGTTTTAACACTAGGTGGCATTATTTCTCTATTTATGCTGCACCCACCGTTTCCATAACTTGGTATTTTTGAGGGGAAACTCCAGCAATGTGGGAAAAAAAGTTGAAACCTTTTTTTGCTGGTTCATTCAGCTTCTTAGTTCAAATTCAGGAATCAAAACATTTTTGCATTAGTTCACACTGTGAGAAGTTTTTACGTTTAACTGGCTTAAATAGTCTCAGAATCCGGCTCTTTGTAAAAAAAAAAAAGAAAAAGAAAAGAGAACCTCTGGTATTCAGTGAACGCACACCAAGGACACACGGTAGTGTTTTACTGTTGTGGATGGAAAATTGTGGTGTTGAGATGGTATGTTAGAGCTTCAGTTGGGTAGTATAAAAACACTTGGACTCCTTATGTTATGTCTGCTCTCCGCGAATGTGTGTGTGTGTTTGTGTATATAAACACACAGAATGAGTCCCTGCACTCTAATTTCTCCATATTACAGGATGAGACGTGGAGAAAATGGTCTCTAATACAGGAGTAGCAGATGTTTGCTGAGCTCATTACGGACCACACAGATTCTCTGCGTCTAGATTCAGAGGAATCGCACGGGGGACTGTTTGTGCTAGGGCTGGGGTCAGGGAGTGGAAGGGCCCTTTAAACAGTAACTTGGCAGCCCTTTGTAGGAGTTGATGATTTTGGGATCATTTGACACAAAGTCTCCGGCACCTGTTGATCAAATAGGTTTGCGTCTCCCTACAGTCCGTCTCATTTACTCCCTGCTCAATCAGACCTGACCTGCCGCAAAGAAAAAGCAGCTCCATCTGCTTCTAAGTGGCTGTCCTGCACATTGTCATTAGCCTACCCACTGAACCAGCTGGCCCTTTCACCTTTTCATTTCTCACTCTCAGTATTTCTCTTTGAGACTGATTGATGCGCTCATGTGGAGGCAGTAACAGAAATGTTTATCCTACAGCACATTACGGGGCCTTCACAGGCATTCCATGGCAACACCACTGGACTGGTAAACCAGTGTAAACCGCAAGGTTACTCAGTCTGAGTTACTGCTCCGAGGAAGCTTCCTGACACTCTGTGTGTGCTTCGAGCATGTCGTCTCATCTGTGCGTGCATCCCATGCCCTCAGGTTGACTTCTCTGCACCTGGAGTGAAGTTAAAGCTCCTCGGCTGGGAAAGGAGATCAAACACCAGACGCACACACACTGACACACACGCATGGTGCGCTCGCAGACAGGCTATCGTATCAGCCTTCACCAAAGCCAGACATCTCAAACACCGCCAACTGTAAATGTCTGGGGCAACCTGTCTCTCAATCCTTGTGTGAAACCAGATAGGCCCCATTCATGGCTGCTGTTGGTGGAGCATGGAAGGCGGAGGAGACAATAATCCCACACGTCAATAACGCCCAACGGTGGAGCATGGAGGGCTGATGATAGCTCCAGTGTCACACCGCTACGAAGGTCAGTGCAGGAATGCGGGGAGGGAAGTTCTCCTTTAATCTGGCTTCCTCCCTTTCGCTGGTGCTCCAGCAGCCCGCATCTCTTTCCCTCTCTCTCTGGGGGGGCCACCTCAGGCTTTGAAAAGAAGCAAGCTTGATGAATTGAAGAGGATGTGATACAGGGTGTGATGTAACTCCCACAGGTTGAGTTTTTTTTTAGG